GCCATCTCATATCATGATATGCATGTTCCAATGCATACAAATTCACATGGACTTGCTCTAGTTGAGTACATAATATACAGCAAATTATAACATGTTGGTCGACAGGTCATGGCGTGCTCGGCAGCGTTCCAGTCTCATAAAGGTAGGGCGTTCTCTGGACCCAGGTGTTTGCTGGCAAGGATTTTATGGATCCCTGACGATCAAGGATGAAGAGACCTTCTTCTGTGCCGCTTGGAGTCGTGGATCAAGTGGAGGAGTGCCGAACATGGAGGACGTGCGTTCTCAAAAGGCGAACAGGTTTTTGTTGCTCGCCGTGAGGCCTTTCATTTATGTTTGTGTCCCGAGCGTAAAGACTTTGGCAATCCAGAAGTTTGCCATTTGCCGACAACTTGTACTTGCAGAAAAAAACATGGTTTTTGGCGCATTAGAGGGTTTGATCAATCATTTTGCCGCTATTATCAGCGAGCTTGTGAGCTTGATTCCAGACCTCCCTTGGAAGGACAATAGACCAAAACCTGTTGGTTGGTGAAACCATGACATGAGATCCATGAGCTGAAGACCGTGTCAAAGGGTGGGAAGTGGGCGCGAGTGCTTGGGCGATGTATAAATAAAGGCGAGTTCTGGAAAAGACACTGACGGACAAATATATGAGGACCTGTCAATAGTCTTGCATTCCACTCACAATCCTTCTCCAATACCAGCAATGGTGAGAGATCAATGCCAACGACCAGGTATATGCTCACAGGGCAAACATAGATGGGGTGTCTCTAAATTCCACTACACACCGATGTCCGAGTTTGATTGCCCCTTTCATCGCGAAAGCTACACCAGGGACCAGAACTTTGCCATGGATCACCAGGGAGCCACTCCATAGATCAGCAGATTCGGTGGGGAGGACACAGATCCTCACTATTTGGTCCACTTTTGGCTTTTGGTCAGCTACTTCACCTTTTTGTGCAGGTCCTTTGCCGAGCAACGCAGCACACACTTAGTCACAGGGCTTGCAGTTTCCATAATCCACAGTGAAATGGATGTGGGAACGGAAAGGCGCAAAATCGGCTCAAGTGAAGTGTTCAACAATGTTGCGCGTGACTGCGGAAAGCTGCGGCGGCATCGCGGCAAACGCGGCGGAGGAAAATGTTTTGGGGTGTATCATGAAACAACCATAGAAGCACACCACAGCGCGGGAAGAAGTGGAGTCATATCATCCGCAGGTACGTGAGTCAAGCGTCCTTGACTCATATCACAGGAAACGTGCAGCGTCTTCGTTGGTCGCTAACTGCACGAATCCCCAGCGACCCCCTGCATTTTTCCCCAAACAGGTTTACCTGTGAGGGGTTCTTACTCCTTTTAAAGGGGCGCATGCTCGGGCCGGATGATTTTGAGTTTGTCTCCGGGCTTGTGTTCCTGGCCGCATGATTTCACCCTTGTCTCCCACTTGTCTCCCACTTGTCTCCCAGTAAGCTCTGGATGCTCTCAGTGCTCTGGCCGCATGATTTCTCAGTGCTCTGGCCGCATGATTTCAGGCTTCTCTCCCATTTGTCTCCACTTGTCTCCCAGTAAGCTCTGGATGCTCTGAGTGCTTGGCCGCAACAAGTAAGCTCTGGATGCTCTGAGTGCTCTGGCCGCATGACACTTGTCTCCCAGTAAGCTCTGGATGCTCTGAGTGCTCTGGCCGCATGATTTTATACTTGTGTCCCATTTGTTTCCCACTTGTCTCCCGTAAGCTCTGGATGCTCTGTGGCCGCATGATTTCACACTTGTCTCCCACTTGTCTCCCAGTAAGCTCTGGATGCTCTGAGTGCTCTGGCCGCATGATTTTATACTTGTGCTCTGGCCGCGTGATTTTATACTTGTCTCCCATTTGTCTCCCAGTAAGCTCTGGATGCTCTCAGTGCTCTGGCCGCATGATTTCACGCTTGTCTCCAATTTGTCTCCCACTTGTCTCCCAGCTTGTCTCCCAGTAAGCTCTGGATGCTCTCAGTGCTCTGGCCGCATGA